AAGGCAGGGATGGGAGCTGAGTGTGAATGGCAGGCTAGGACATAAAGAGCCACCCCAGCCAAGATGTTAATGCACAAGGATTACATGGGATCATCTTAAAAACACATCTGCCTATCCTTTCTCCCCTGCCCTCAAGTTCATGTTCAGTAGGGTAGGGAGCTACTCAGCAAGTGAATGTGAGCAGGCGGTGACATTGTAGTGTAGGACGCTCAGCCACCAGGGTGTCCCGGTGCTGTCATCAGAGTCCTGCTCCAGGCCCCCGCCCTGACCTCTTCAGCACGCACCTGCCTGACTTCCACCTGCCAGCCCTCTGTCCCTTTCTTGAGGACACTCTTGTGCCCCAGAGCCATGCCTCCTCAGCAACAGCAGAACTTACACCTCCCAAGAACAGCCCTGAACCAGTGCTGATAGGAAGGGGGTATAAATACCAGACGATACCATCTTTCCAGTCGTCATGTATGGATGTGAGAGCTGGACCATAAAGAAGCTGAGCACTGAAGAATTGGTGCTTTTGAACTGTGGTGTTGGAGAAGACTCTTGAGAGTCCCTTGGACTGCAAGGAGATCCAACCAGTCCATCCTAAAGGAAACCAACCCTGAACATTGGAAGGACTGATACTAAAGCTGAAGCTCCAATACTCTGGCAACCTGATGGGAAGAGCCAACTCGTTGGAAAAGACTCTGATGCTGAGAAAGATTGAGGACAGGAGGAGAAGGGGACGACAGAGGATGAGATGGTTGGATGGCATCACTGACTCGATGGACATGAGTTTGGGTAAACTCTGAGAGAAAGTTAAGGACAGGGAAGCCTGGTATGCTGCAGTCCATGGGGTCCTTTGTGACTTAGCTACTGAGCAACAACAACAGATGGTAAAGAATCCACCTGCGATGCAAGAAGGAGACCCGTGTTCAGTCCCTGGGTCGGGAAGATCCCCTGGAGAAGGGAATGGCAACCCACTCCAGTATTCTTATCTCGAGAATCCCATGGAGAGCAGAGCCTGGTGGACTACAGTCCATGGGGTGGAAAAGAGTCAGACATGACTGAGCGACTAAGCACTCATAAATAACCCAGCTCCCTCATCCCTCAGGCTGGAGAGCTTGGGGGTAAGTGTTTTCTGCTGTCTCCCTGGGGTTCTTGGCAGGACAGCTCCAGTTGCCCATGGGGGTCCCTTGCTTAATGAGACATCTTCCATTGGCTTCCTTCGCTGTCTGTCTTCCTGCTCCTTAGCTGTGTTACTGGGCCTCACCTCCCAAAAACCACTTGCTCAGAAACCCTTGGCTCAGGCTCTGCTTCTGGGAGCACCCAAACCACACAGTCAGTGGGAGCTGTAAGACCCTGAACAAGTGGCTTCAACCCTCAGGGTTGAAGTTTCCTCATCTGTGAAATGGGGATAATGTTACCTGAGCCACGGGGCAGGTGTCACAAACAGGAGGCCTGAGGACCGGATGTAGCCTCCAAGTAGGTTTTATCTGGTCTCCAGATAGTTTTAGGGTTTCCCAGGTGGTGCTAGTGGTGAAGAACCCGCCTGCCAATGTAGGAGAAATAAGAAACACGGGTTCGATCTCTTGGTGGGCAAGATCCCCTGGAGGAGGAAGTGGCAACCCACTCCAGCATTCTTGCCTGGAGAATCGCATGGACAGAGGAATCTGTCAGGCTACAGGCCGTGAGGCTGCACGGAGCCGGACAAGACTGAAACGACTTAGCAGGAACAGGTAGTTTTAAAACTGTCTGTTGTGGAGTCTGCGTTGTGCATTCCAAAGTATATGATGCTTGTTTAAAGAGTCATATAATAAGCGTCTATGCACCGACCTTCTAGCTTTGGAGATAGACCAACCCCAAGACTGCTGCACCCCTGGATCCTCACTTCCCAGCAACCTCCAAGAGGTCACCACTGTGATGAATTTTGTGTGTATCATCTCATCCTTTAGTCATAGTTTTACTCTCGATGTAAATAACATATTGTTTAGTGTTGCATTTTCACAAATTGAGATGCATGCATGTATGCATGCTCAGTCATGTCTGACTCTTTGTGACCCCATAGACTGTAACCTGCCAGGCTCCTCTGTCTATGGGGATTCTCCAGGCAAGAATACTGGGTTCGATCCCAACCCAGGGATTGAACCTGCTTCTCTTGAGTCTCCTCCATTGGCAGGCAGATTCTTTCCCCCTGCGCCTCCTGGGATTTTTCATCAAAATGCACCTTTCCAACCTCCTCTAAGGACCATCAGAAGACCTAACCAGGCTGAACCCACATCCCCACATGGTAACAGCTGTTGGCTGTAAGTCACTGGGGATGGACTAGGTAGGTGGTGCAGGGATCCGCAAGGACCTCCGGTTCCTGGAGCTCCTGCTTCCCCTCCCTGGACTCTGCACTCTTTCATTTACCTGCCCGCTATTCCCCACGGACGTCTGGGCTGGTGAGTTCTCACCACGAGAAACACTGCAATGAGATAGCCCACGGGTGCCCTTCGCAGAGAGCCTGGCAAAGGAGCATCAGCTGCTCCTTAATCACAGCCTCTATCAGTGACATTCTGGGAGGCAGCCAGAATCAGCGTCCTTGTCTTGAGGCTGATGAGGTAACATGATGAGGCCAAGGCCACTGTGTGGAAGGCGGTTGGGTCAGGACCCCACACAGCCCTGGAGCAGGGGAGGGGAGACTGCAAGTCCACCGAACCTCAGCCTTGGGGAGGGGGTGAGGGCCCAGGCCAAACCCGTCCCCCGACCCCTGCGCCCCTCATGTGCACCAGCTGAGCTCTACTCCTGCTGCCCCCGACCCAGGCCCACCTGCCTGTCACACAGCCCTCCCTTGGAAACCAGAGGCGGAGGTGGGTGTGGGAGACCTGGGACCAGGTCTGGGAATGAGTGGCTCCCACCTCAGCCTCCTGGAGAAGCAGGAAAGGGATGCACCGGAGTTCTGCCTCTCCGAGCAGATCTGCTGGCCTTGCCGGGCACGGAGGTGGACACTGGGGCCTGTGAATCACCGCCAGCGGATGGAGCTTTGTTTGGCTCGCTGAGTCCCCAGACCAGGGGCCGGCCGGAGAGAGGGCTCTTTCCTGAGGGGCTGGACTTTCCCACAGGAACAAAGTGGGGCTTGTTAGCCGGGCATGAATCTTGGCGTGGGGCACCCCGGGCTGGGCTCAGCGCTGCCAGGCGGAGGCCCAGCGATATCAGGCAAATTCCGCCTTCCCCACAGCTGGGGCTGACAGCAGGAAGCCCCAGGGAGGCTCCTAACAAAGACAGAAAAATGGGCCACGTTTATTCATTCACTGACCAGCCCGGGCCTGGCTGGCCCACGGGGCCCTGCTTCCATGGCAACGGGCGGCCTTCGGAGCTCCTGGTTGGCTCGTCCGTGACCACTGCCCCTCCGTCCCCGCACACCCCCGGCACACAGAGACACGGCATCCCGTGGCTCCCCGGCACGGCCTTGCTCCGTGGTGTCTGGGAGAGCATGGGCCAAGCCAAACGCGAGGCAAGGGCTTGTACACGGTCAGGAGAGAGCCTGTGTTGAGTTCTGCAAGCTGAACACATGGCCGGTCTTGGGTGAGTGGGGTGGAGGTAATGGTGCAGACCCCTGCTGCGTGTGGGCCAGGGACGCCTGGCCTCTCCAGTCTCGTTCTAACACAGCAGAAAGAGCAAGATTTGTCCTGTCCTAGACTATTTCTTCTTCCTGGGGGAGGGGTTATCAAACAACGAGACTTCCCAGAAGAACTGTCATGGACATTGGGATTTGAAGGGTGCATAGGAGTTTGCCAGGCAAGGAAGGAAAGAGCATTTCAGGCAGAAGGACAAGTTTTGAGGCCTGAAAGTATGTGGTGTGATAGACAGTAGCTGAACATTTTTTAAAACTAGAATGAAGAAGGGATGTAGCTGGAAATGAGGCAGGAGTGAGGGCTGGATATCCATGTGATATGACTCAGGGTAGCAGGGCCCTTTTCTCCCCAGTCACTGCCCAGGAGGGGGCCCGTGGACTGACTCTGAATTGTGAATTCTGTGTATTGGCCTCTTCTCAGACTGGTTTTGGCAGTGGCCTAAAAAAGAAATGCCAATAATATCTTACAGCTATTTAGGACAAAAATAGCAAGTAGATAGCATAGGGGGGCTTGCCCAGTGGCTCAGTGGTAAAGACTCTGCCTGCAAGGCAGGAGACCCACGAGACATGGATTTGATCCCTGGGTTGGGAAGATCCCCTCTTGAAAGAAATGGCAACCCACTCCAATATTCTTGCCTGGGAAATCCCATGGACAGAGGAGCCTGGTGGGCTACAGTCCATGGGATTACAAAGAGTCAGACATGACTGAAGTGACTGAGCACGCACATGCATGAAGACTGCATGGAGGGGGTGCCCTTCTGTCTCACACCATGGTAGATACGACTAAGCCGTCACGGCACGCTTTCTGGTCCGGCTTGGCCTCAGCTTCAGACCCTTCTCGCACGGTGATCAGGGAGCCACTACTGAGCAGAGCCAACACCCAGGAGAACAGCTTCGTTGTGCCTAGTCCATCCCTCTGTGCTCGCTAAACAGCTGGCTCACACCTGAGACTCGTTTTCTGCCCCATTCATCAGGGCAAGTGCAGCTGTCTTCATTTCAGAGATGCGGAGGCCACCCTTGGAGCTCAGATGGTAAAGAATCTGCCTGCGATACAGGAGACACGCGTTTGATCCCTGGGTCAGCAAGATCCCCTGGAGAGGGGAATGGTAACCCACTCCAGTGTTCTTGCCTGAAGAAATTCACGATTAAAGGAGCCTGGTGGGCTACAGTCTATGGGGTCACAAAGAATCAGACGTGCCTGAACTGATTTCCACACCAGTGCAGCACACAGCAATCACGGAATGGAGGACCAGAATGGAGGGATCTCAGCTCTTACTCCATTCAGGATGTGTTTGGAAGGCCCACTGCGACCAAGGCGGTGGCATTTGAGTAGATTGTTCTTCCCCTCTCCCCCGGAAGCCCACTGAGTCCCAGCTTCCCCTGTTTTACCCAGGACACGAGTCCACTGAAGTCATCCAGAGATCTGAGGCATCACTAAATCTGGCCATTCCCTGAAGCGCCCGGCCTCCTGGGCTTCCTGGAGCGCGGATGACGCTATGATGGCAAATGTGCTCTGACAGCTGCTGACGGAGAGGCGGACGATGTTTGGGCAGCTCTGCAGGCCGGAGGGGGCTGCTCGGGGAGGCTCCCCAGGCTGGTGGCCGAGGCAGCTTGAGAGCAGCGAGGGCACCTGAGGGGTGGGTTCACAGCCCCCAGCGACTGCTGATCCCGGGCGCGGGCATGTATGACCCAGCCTCCTGACTTCGCGTGCTCATTTGGCTGAACTGAGGGAAGCCTCATTCTTGGGGCCAAGCCTGGGCTGGGTGTCCCGCTCTCTCCTGTTCTTCTTTGGCTCTCCTCCACACCTCCACACTCAGCGAGTTGTTCAGTCCCTCTGTCGTGTCTGACTCTTTGCAACCCCATGGACTGCAGCACGCCAGGCTCCCCTGTCCTCCACTGTCTCCTGGAGCTTGCTCAAGCTCATGTCCATAGAATTGGTGATGCCATCCAACCATCTCATCCTCTGTCAACCCTCTTCTCCTGCCCTCAGTCTTTCCCAGCATCAGGGTCTTTTCCAGTGAGTTGGCTCTTCGCATCAGGTGGCCAAAGTATTGGAGCTTCAGCTTCAGCATCAGTCCAATGAGTATTCAGGGTTGATTTCCTTTAGGATTGACTGGTTTGATCTCCTTGCTGTGCAAGGGACTCTCAAGAGTCTTCTCACGGCATCACAATTTGAAAGCATCAATTCTTTGGTGCTTAGCCTTTTCTATGGCCCAACTCAGTGAGTACCAACTGACTGCAAACTGCCTGGATCCGTGCCCATCACCTGCTCTCAGGTATCTCTGTCTCACCTGCTGGGACCCCCACAGGCACTTTTCCCTTGCTGCCTGCATTCACCTGGATGGGACTGTCTCACTGCCCCCACCCCATCTTCCAGCCTTGCCTTCTTCCCCATCACCTGGAGGTCGGTACTTCCCCAGACACACCTGCCCTGATCCTGCCAGTTGGCATGGTCAGGCCCTCAACCCCCTTCTCTACTGGATACCAGGAGCTCTCCAGACACAGTCTCACCCCAACTTTTCTTGATCTGGCTGTGTCCCAGAAATTGCCACCTTTGCAGTAACAAATACCTGTGTTAGCTGCCAGGTGAAGTGACAAGTGCTTATCAAGCTCTCACTGTCTTCAGGCATTGGTGGGTGACGTTTTCATTCTGTGCCATGCCCAGGGGAGCATGTCTGGCTTATGAAACTTCATATCAGAAAAAAGAGCAAAGAGGTTTCATTTCAGCTGTCAATGCTGGTTATCTGGTGATGTCAACTCCCATACAGTGTGGGATGGATGTATGTCTAAGGCAGCTGTGGACTCGGTGGAGAGAAGTTCAGTGATCAGCTATTCATATCTCTTTGGGGCAGAGGAGTGGCTATTGAAGGTCCATGGGCCACAAATTTCACTTCTCTGTTTCTATACCATGGAATGGCATCTGGTCCCATTATTCCATGGCAAATAGATGGAGAAACAATGGAAACAGTGAGAGACTTTATTTTCTTGGGCCCCAAAAATCACTGCAGACGGTGATTGCAGCCATGAAATCAAAAGATGCTTGTTCCTTGCAAGAAAAGCTATGACCAACCTAGACAGCATATTAAAGAGCAGAGACATTACTTTGCCAACAAAGGTCCATCTAATCAAAGCTATGGTTTTTCCAGTAGTCATGTATGGTTGTGAGAGTTGGGCTATAAAGAAAGCTGAGCACCGAAGAATTGATGCTTTTGAACTGTGGTGTTGGAGAGGGTTCTTGAGAGTCCCTTGGACAGCAAAGAGATCAAACCAGTCAGTCCTAAAGGAAATCAGTCCTGAGTATTCATTGGAAAGACTGGTGTTGAAGCTGGAGCTCCAATACTTTGGCCACTTGATGGGAAGAACTGACTCATTTGAAAAGACTCTGATGCTGGGAATGATTGAAGGTGGGAGGATAAGGGGATGACAGAGGATGAGATGGTTGGACGGCATCACCGATTTGATGGACCTGAGTTTGAGCAACCTCTGGGAGTTGGTGATGGACAGGGAAGCCTGGTGTGCTGCAGTCCACAGGGTCACAAAGAATCTGACATGACTGAGCGCCTGAACTGAACACAATGAAAAACACGGGAGTTTTTGTAAGTCCCTAACTGTGTAAAGCAGACAACAGAGAAAAGAGACTGATGTCTCCTAGGAAAGGCTGCCTGAGGAAGGGAGGAGGTGAACTTTTGGAGTCACTGCACCCCCTGGCGTCTGAGGTATTATCTGAACGAGATTGAATTTACTCAGATGTAATAAAAAAAATAGTTTGATTCTTCTCTATGCCTTGGTTCCCCTTCTTTAAAACAGTTGATTCTGTCAAACTAGATCTGGAAGATCCTTTCTGACTCCCAGTGTTCCTAAATAATTATATCTCATAGGTGTAGAATCTTCCTGGGTGGCTCAGTGGTAAAGAATCCGCCTGCCAGTGCAGGAGATGCAAGAGACACGAAGTTGATCCCTGGGTCGGGATGATCCCCTGAAGAAGGAAATGGCAACCCACTCCAGTATTCTTGCCGGGAAGTCCCATGGACAGAGGAGCCTGATGGGGTACAGTCCATGGGGTCGCAAAGAGTCCGACATGACTGAGCGACTGAACACACAGCAGCATAGGTGTGGAATGCATTACAGCTCCCAGCCTCCTCTCATATCCACTAGCTCGTCTGTGCTTCACAGGGAGCCCATGACGCAGCCATTCTAAGGGTGAAAAAGCTGAGGCCCAGAGACCTTCCCTACTTCTTACCCAAGGTTGGGCCACGTCTGCAGAAGAGTCACCTGAAGTCAGTTCTCCTGGCTCTGGTCATTCTCCTTCTGAAAGTATACTTGTACATTTCCAAATACTTGGGACATGTGGGTTATGTTTAACGGCTCCTCGGGTGATTCTGCTGTTCACCTAGGGTTCAGATCATTGCTGAAAGGCTAGCTTTATGACTTACTTCAGGGGAGGAAGTAGAGGCTCAGAGAAGTTAAGTGACTTGCCCAAAGTCACACAGCCAGAAGACAGTGGATCCCATGCCAGGCAGGCTGGCTGTGTAACTGTGCGTTTATCGTGGTCCAGGGACTCTCATATTATCATTTCATTTCATGCTCTCAACAAGTTAATTCTTTCTTGATGTCATTTTGTTTCTTTTTGGCTGTGCTGGGTCTTCACTGCTGGGCGGTGAAAATTCCTCTCGTTGCGGTGAGAAGGGGCTACTCTTCACTGCACTGTGCAGGTTTCTCATTGCGGTGGCTGCTCTTGATGTGGAGCCCAGGCTCTAGGGTGCTTGAGCTTCTGCAGTTGTGGTTCCTGGGCTCCACAGCACAGGCTCAATAGTTGTGGCGAATGGGCTTGGTTGCCCCACAGCCTGCGGGATCTTCCCAGATCAGGGATCGAACCTGTGTGTCCTGAATTGGCAGATGGATTCTTTACCACTGAGCCACCAGGGAAGCCCAACAAGTTAATTCTTTAAGAAAAAACAACAACAACTGAGGAAAATAAATCAGAAAGGTTAAATAAGCAGCCCAGGGTTGCAGAACTAATAAAAGGCAGCAAATAATGGTTTCTGCCCTGATTAGATTTGGATGCATGAGTGTGTGCCCTTGTCATCACTCATGCATTGGTTCACTTAAGGTCTGTCCATTTTACTATGTATCGATTTTACCTTTAAAAGAGTGTGAACTCAAGTCATGCTTTGCAGCAGAAAAAGGTTTACAACTTATTTTGAACTGCTCAAAAAAATAGGATGGATGAATAGAGGAAGAAATAAATGGATAGATATGCAATAAAGGTGGTGGGTCTGTGGGTGTTCACTGGACAGTTCTTCCAACTTTTCTGCATGTTTGAAAAATTTCATAATAAGATGTTATGTGGAGGGGAGGCAGCTAATAACTTGCATTAGACTGTGAGCTCAGTGAGAACAGAGATCTTTGCCTAGGTTGTGACTGCTGAATTCCCAGCACCTGGAAGAGTAGCATGAAGCAGGTTTTCAGTGAAAAATGGCTGAATGGAATGTGATGATAGAGTATCTACCTTGTGTCTATAAATCTTTTTTTAACATACAAACAGAATAGAATCTTAAACTAAATATAAATATTAAATATATAAATATATAATAATTATATATTAATATAAATCTTAAACTAAACACTTACCTCACAGAGGACTTGGTGATATCTGTGAAGCAGGAGGGTAGGGAGGAAGAACATTGGACAGAGTTGAGTGGGTGGGCATGGATGGAGGGCTGTCCCCAATTTCTGTGCATGAGCTCAGCTCCCCTTTCCCCTGGGAGAAGCAGTAAGCGCTCCTTGCCCCAGAATCACTTTCCCAGGAGCTGGGCGTTGCACGGGCGCATGCTGCCCTCCTGTGGCCAAGGTGAATATTGCACTCGTGTTGGAAAGTCCTCTGCCCCCCTTGAGCCTCATTGGACAGTACTCAGGGGGCCACAGACTCGGGAAAATCAACGCTGAGTCCAGAAGGGCTGCATCTCTGGGCCTGGGGCCACTTGTTAGCGTGCCCTCTATCGGATAATGGTTCTCACAGTGGGGGGTGTGGATCTCCTACGACCTCACCTCCCACCGACCTCACCTCCTGAGGTTTGGGAGAACTGACTGATAGGTGTTGGCACCCCTGACTGCTACCACCCTTCCATGGTCTGTCTGATTTGACCATCACACTGACCCTGCCAGGAGGGCGGCATGATGACTCGGAGAGCTCAAAGCCACACAGCCAACTGGGGGCAGGGAAACTGCCTCTAGGAATTCCAGACTACAGCAAGAAGACACTAGCCCTCCGCTGGTGCAGTTCGGTGGGCTCCAGCTCTGGAAGGGGCAGGGAGTCAGGGTGGTTTGAAAGAGCCTGAGTACTCAAACCCACACCTTCACCTGTCACCCAGACACCACAGGTGGGCTCTTCACCTGCCCCTCCCAGGTCTTGCTAGACCCAGCTGTGTGACCCTGGGCAAGGTTACTTGACCTCTCTGAGCCCTGCCTCAGAGTGTCAAATGGGGATGATCATGCCTTTACCTTTGAGGATTGTCATACAAACAACTGGGTGAACCTAAGCAAAGCACACATGCTCAGAAATCCCCCCACTGCATTCGCCCCCAGATTGCAGCTTCCACGTGGGCAGGGA